ACCCACTGCCCGCCAGACCTTCTCCTGCGCAGTTGTCACGCTTACAGTAAGTGCCCTCCAACCTACATCCCACATGTGGTTACATAACTTTTAGGTCCCCCACACTCAGATGTAATGTTCTTATGAATATGCTGACATGAAGCACTGATGTGACCATCCAGACAAAAGTTTGTGGACAACTTTAAAAGGTCTTTATTTAGAGTAAAACTTCTATTACTGAAGTAGCCGTGCCCATGCAGTAGTCCTGTCCCAATATATGTGGGGTTGGAAATATGTAACTCCTCTTTAGCTCCAAGCCATCTACTGTATGTCATAGTTAAGGTCCGATTTGTATTCAGAAGCCTAGTCTAGCCTACTAGTAGTCATAATTTTAGTTTGAATCAAAAACAGAACACCCAGCTCTGTGTCTGCTGGGCTGACGCTGCCTTTTGAGTTTTTTTGTGTTCGTGTGCTGGTGGGAAACACCAACATCTAAGACTCTACAGTCAGCTGCCAAACAAACTATTTCATTTGAAAATAAGGCCACAAAGACAAACAGCAACAATGACTGATGATGTGAAAAAGTTGTGTGTGGTAGCATCTTGCATTGCTGTTTGTTAGTTTTGAATGCCAGAGTTTTCCACAAGCAAGTGAATACGCAACACAACAATGTGATGTATAAAAGTATAAAATGTGATGTGTTTCTCTGACCAAGGGTAGAGCTCCAGTCCTGTACTTGACTGAAAAAATTGTTTAGCCTACTATTATTAGCCTACTATCTAAGTTGACATGTAGTGGTTACACATTTAGGCATTTTTCTCTTCTCTTTTTCTCGCCAACTGTTGCAAAGTATTCTGGGAACTGAAAGAAATAATAAAATGAAACAGAAGATGAGTCAAGTAAGCTGTAGTACAAAACTGTTTTACAGCTATTTATCATATTATCATTTATAAAATAACTCTAAACACCCCAGACTGATGATATCTAAGAGTGATAGAGCATCAAAGGTTTCAATTTTGGTCTGCTAGTACTGCAAGAAAAACCCAGTGGTTTGAAGAAAAATTTGATCAAAAAAAGGATGAAAGTGAGAAAGGAAGGACGAAATAGAATAAAGTAAAATACTCCCTTGGTCAAACATTGATTGCCTGTGTGTCATGCTCTCTTCTCCTATTCGGGCCGACCACATCTGCGGTGAACTACTTTTTCAGCCGTAGGCTGATATTTCGGGTAGTGGGTGTGTGTGGGTGTGCGTGGGTGTGTGTGGGTGTGTGGACAAGAGCAAGAGGCCAGGGTAGCCCACTGTATTTGCAAGGAAGACTGTGGTAAGGAAAGAGAATACAGAGAGGGCTACCATTACCAGTGCATTAAATATGGAGTGGCAAAATGAGTCTTCTGCAGTGCCTACTCTTACTTCCTGACCTGTCCTATAACTTTCTCTCTTTCCTCTATTGCACAGCTAAATCACAAATGTTAGGATAATAGTGTAACTTTACTTTCACCACCTTTGTTGTATATGTTTGGGAAACACTTTTCCCGTAAAAAAACAAATTATTTGGGGAAAGCAGTGTGAGCCAACAACCCTCAATTATACAGGAATCTTTTAATTGCTTGTACCTGAGTCCGGTGTTTTTTAAAAGTCAAACTAGTTCTCAATTGGACAAAGAAGAAAAATACCAACACACACACACACACACACACACACACACACACACACACACACACACACACACACACACACACACACACACTTGTACACCTAAAGTGCCAGTTTTGGGCCAGAAACATAGTTTGCCACAGTTGTCCCATTGCTGTTCCAAAGACCACGGGTCTAAGCAGACAGGATAATATGAGTTCAGAAAGAAAACCCACTGAATACCCAGTAGCACTGAACTCTGGCATGTACCAACATAACAGAGAACATGCCCCATTTACACTGACTGCATGAATGAAAAGGAAGCAAATATCTGGAGAATGTACATATATTTAGGAGTAGGCAAACTTACCCTAGAGTCCTGAGGCAACGTCATGGTGGTTTTTGCAAAAGAGTTATGTTTTCTGTGGATTTTTTTATTCAACACAGTTGGAAACAGTTATGACAAAATGAGCAGCCATGAGCTTTAAAATAGGGTAGATTCAATAAATGGGGCTCAACCTGTATGTATTATTAGATCGTCCCAAAAGCTTGAACCAAATTCCCATCAAACAAGTACAACCTATTTAAATGAGTAAGGTTTATGTCAAAATAGAATATTAAATCTAAGGGGTTAAAATATGAGAAATGACTCTGGTGTTGAGGAAATATATAAATAAAGGAGTCATCAATAAGCATCTTAGCATGTATGAATAATGCATGTGGCCATTTCCCGTAGCCAGAGGCTGGAGATATTATTACACCATCATATCAACTAGCCAAGGTAATAAATTGGAGAGGAGAGGAGAGGGAGGTAGAGAAGACTGGGGATATTACGCAACCCCTAATGTCCCAACTTCCCCAAAGACACACATTCACACATACACACACACACACACACACACACTTCATTAAAAGTATACAGAGTAAAATCTTAGCTAAACATTTTGTCTCTCTCATGACTAACTTCAGCTGTTGAAGTGTGGTCGGCACAAAGCAGAGTGTAATGGCGAGAGTGTCACCAGGGTTCATGTATCTCCTCATTTAAAGAAAGCTGCCTGATCCTGTGCTAATCCGTTGGTGCCACTCGTTTGGCCGAACTCTGAATGATTTCATGGCTTCAGTATGACAACTCTCCAGGAAAAACACACCGATTTAGCCTCCAGTGGCACCACTGCTGCTGAATTACTGACTGTTAAGCCCCGATTACATACACAGTTAATGTGTTCTAATATTAGGTTATATGAAAGAGGAACATTAAGAAAAACTGGAACCTGTGCATCATTCTCTACAAAAACAGGTGTTTGTACAATGTAAAGCCAGCACTACATTTTTTGCTTGATCTAGCTGAGCCAGTATTAATTTTGGCCTGTGATCACAAGTTGACATTACAAGTCAACTTGTGAAGCAGAGATATATTTGGGCAGCCTGAGACAAAGTTCTACTAATCAGGAGTGACCATGTGTGATGCGTGCAGGTTGTTGCATAAGACTGCAATTTAAAAAAATGTGTTAATCCATAGCTTTTATTAATTCATTCATAAAAAAATATAATATACCTCATCATAGTTCTTATTTTCAAAGGTTAAGTTTTATTTAGTTGAAATTAACACTTAGCTGGGCATCTTGGCGTTAATGCGCCGTGCTTAGTGTGAGCCACATGGAATTGCACTTTCTTTCATGGAAAAGGCTCTTGCACTGTTAACACAAGCCACACTCAGCCCTGCATCTGAAGAAAGATAAATAATGAGTAAAAATGGAGTGAACAAGGGCCAGAGATGGAAGCCATTCATTCACCTTGAATGACTTCCAGAAAAAAAACAATGAGGAAAGGGGAGGAGAAGAAAGCCAGTAAGAAGGTTCCTCCAAATTTGATTTCCGGTGGCTGACCTTTGAAACACAATAGACAGAGAAAGAAAAAAGAGCAATGGTATGAATGCTAGAAAGGAAGAGGAAACAATTTGCTTCAAAACAAGTTCCCCAAGAGAGTCACAAAGTAAACTCTGATCAGCTAAAGTGCCCTTCGAGCTGCTGTCTGGCCATCAAAAGGTCTTGTTTGTTTAAGTGGCAAGTTGACGGTTCAGACTTTCCTTAAGTGTTACAAATTCAATGAAGGATGTATATCCTTAGGATCCTTAGGATGTTGGGAAATATGGTTAATTAGTGCATCTTTTGAAAAGCAAAAGGGAGATGCAAAGGTGGAGAAAGGGAGGGAAGGGAAATTCAGTAATGTGAGAGGTTAGAGGGCAGGGACTGCAGCAGCAAAAAGCAGATGCTGACGCTTCGTATTACACCGCATCACCAGCTGACCAGGATATCAGCTATATACGACCTTAGCTGCCCTTTATACTGATAGGAGCATCAGGAGGGAGGGAGGGGGAGAGGCTCTGAGAGACAAATAGAGTAACGGAGACCAGAGGTGGTGACAGGGGAAGGATTAAGGCTAGAGGAAGAGTGATGGGAGGCAAACAACAGCAATTAGTACAAGTTGGTGAGGGACAGAGGTCAGTGTCTGGCAGTGAGAGGGAAAAACAAGGAGAGTACTGGCAGGTACAAAAGAGGAGGAATCAGAGGGAAAAGTAGGGTTTGGAAAAAGTTGAATTTTGTTCCATTTCAAAGCACTGCTGGCGCTGCTCTGTGATACCATCTTGACATTTCTCATATCTCTTCATTTATCTTTCTCTGATCCCCACCTGTTCTCCTTTTCTATTTCTCTTCACGCATATGCTTCAGTGTTTTCCTCTAAAATCTTTCTTCACCTCAGAAATCCTCTCGCCTTCTGCTGGATTGCACTCTGAGTGTCATGTGACATAAACAACTTGGCGTGTCTTTTAATAGTAGCTGTCCTCATTTTATTGGGCCACTGTTTCAGCCCCCTCTATCTCTCTTTCTCGTTCCTTGTTCACACAACACCTTATGCTGCAGTACCATGGTAATGTGCTGCAAGGTCATCATCGCCACAGCAACTAAAGTAACCATGTTTAAAGCAAGGACAAAGTGATTAATTATGTCAGGTCCAGCCTGTTATCATGGCAATATGGTGGAATTCATATGAAAGATACCAAGTTTTCAGATCAACTCTATAACATCTGAACATTGTCGCCCACTATACTGTCCATTAATCCGGTTAGAGCAGTTAGCTGAGTCTAGTACAACAGTCAAACCAAGGTCTGCACACTGAAAGACAGCACAGGAAAAATCATCAACTCACTGACGGCAATGAAACCTATATCCTATTGCGCCTGGATTCTACCGGGCACGGCTCTATAACATCACATCTGCGACCCAGTTTTGTACAGTGCTCGGCATGGCTTCATACCCCACAGGGAGCATTTCAGAAGCAGAGCATTTTGCCTGTCTGATTTTGTTGACTTACTCAGATTTAGTTGATTTGGTAATTTGTCCTTGATTTTTGTGCTTCTACCATGGGTAAGTAGGTTACGTAGTTATATTGTTTCTTTTTTTGTCTGTTTTAATTGTGTTTTTGTTGATATATGATCAGGAGTCTGCAATGTTTTATTTTGAAAACTGGCCAAATTGCTCTGTGAAGCTTTCACCAAATATAGACTAGCCACGTATTCTCCCGTGAGCAGATAATAAAACACGGTGCAGCGCTATTGGTGGAATCACAAACACTGGCTGTGTCCAAAATCACTCACTATCTAGTGAGTTTGCCATTTTGTCGTGCTGGGTGAAAATATGAGAGATCTGTGTAAGAATTATAGTGGACCCAAAGTATCCCAGAATGCATTGTGAACAGTAGTGTACAACCAATGTTCACTAACCAAGCAGAATATACCATCACCCCTTTAGAAAAATGGTCCACCAGCCGATGTTAATGTGGCACATTTTAATTGTGCGACAGCAATGACATAATTGACGCCACAGAGAGAATAACCAAAGAAGTGTGTGAAAGTGTTGTTTTTATTTTGCTGGTGAGCTCTCTGTAAAGTCTTACCCTCCATCTAGAATTCCCTAGATGGGGGGTAGGGAGTAGTGAATGAGTGATGATTTTCTGACAGCCATTGCCTAAAATGTCTGTGAACACAAACAACTGGCGAATGTCCAGAACACGACGCAGCCATGCCCGGTGGAATCCAACTGTAAAAAAACATGAGAGAATCTACATAAAAATTGCTCACTTTGTTAACAGCGCTTGGCCCTGTTATTTTACTGGACGCTAGATATTCTCCTTGACCTGTATCTTCCGGCTTCACACACATATTTTCACAAAATATGATATCGGAGCAGTGTTCATTTTGTTGACAAAAACTACAACAAAAAATGTATTATTGATTATTTTCCAGAACAGAAACAAGACTAAAACTAAATAAGTTAAAAAAGTTATGATGAAACGTATTACAACCAAAACCAAAGACAGATGGTTAGACAAATGTACAAGTTAATTACCGCTTAAATGCAGTCTTATTCCATGACCTGCAGAATCACACATTGAATGCTCCTGATTGGCAAAATGTATCCTTCGCTGCCCAAAGTTATCTCAGAATTTCTTTTATCTGCTTGACCTGTTGCACTAATAAGCAGAGTCATTGCAGTACTGTTTTGACTCTGCCAGTAATTCTTTCTAATGTCATTGCTTCTTGGAAGGAAAAAAGCAACAGATTTATGGACTAAATTCATCTATACTTCCACAGAAAACTGGACAAAAAGACTGAAAGAAAACAGCTGGGACAAACCAGTAAAAAAGGCAAGCCAGCATGCTGACAATTATAAAAAGATAAGTAATGATAATGTATTGCATTGTCGAGGGCTGTGGATGTGACTGTAACTTTAATATTACTTTAAGTCTACTATCGTTTGTATGTGTAGGCTAGGAGTAGTGAGTGAATGATTAATATAAAGACGACCAAAATAAAATTAAAATACCAGTCATGCACAAAAAATGGCAAAGAAGATGTGTGAATTTTTGCTATCCAGTGTAATAGCAAAAACCACTTGCTGTAGCTGTAGCTGTAGCATATGGACAGACTGAGCTATATGAGCTAGGGGAACAGGGGCTAGCTAGCAGAGGGGGCAGGACTTTCATTCTCTATAAACACTGCAGATGACAATATTTGCTGCTTATATGAAAACACAGTGTTAGCTTACTGTGTAATTAATTGCTTTCTTGGTGCACACTGCTTTTTTCAGTTTATTTTTGAAAGCTGCTGACCGTCAGCAGGCTGATCACTTGACACAGGCCAGGAGGTGAGCTGGACCCCAAGGGGCTGTGTGCCTGTTTGGGATTTTAAATTTTTGTCAAAGTTAACCTGATGAAACAATTTGCCAACAGGAATACAAAACAACTGACTATTGAGTACTTTATAAAATATTGCATGTAATGTATGTCATTTGCTGTGTCATTCTATATGCTAAGCTAGTGCAAAATCTGCTAACAGCAGCTTTTTAACCAAGCTAATATGACATTCATTGATGGACCCTTTCAAGTAGTCTTATGAGTCATTATTGTTTGGTTGAAATGTGTTGTAGCAGAGCATCCAATATTACATTTATTCATTTGTTCATTTTACAGAAAAAGAAATACTTAGATTAGTAGCTGGACACAACAATAGCATAAATGTTGAGTTAAAATGCTAAAATATTACCCCCATAGAAGCAGGGTGGTGTTACTTTTTTCCTGCCAGAGTTTCGACAATTCTCATTTGATTTAACAGCTTTAAGTCCACTCCTGCCCCCCTACTCTGCCTCGGACTGGCTAACTCGAACTCTAACCCCACCCTTACCTTAACCTTAACCAACCCTAACCAACCGAAGCAACGAGTACTAATCAATAATAGGCAGAGTAGTTGAAACTCTTGCAGGAAAAAGAATAACGCAAGCAAGGTTCTTGTGCTTGGGGTATACAGCTAGCTGGCCTCATAGCAGTATTATCTCCGTATTTTCTCTTTAAATACAAGTCATATGTAGATTTACATAATATTCTCATTAATTATGGAGACATGGCTCATTAAGAAAACATTAAGTTACATGACAGTGAATAATGGCTGCTGGATAAGTTTTCCATTTTTACCTTAGCCAAAGAAATGGTGTTTGGTCTCCATACATCTACTGTATATCTCAGTCACTGTAAAAATTTAGCTTTTTTTCTTCCTGATCTCAGTGACATTAATGAGCTCAAATACCTTGCCAAGGGGATAACAGTATTAATAATGCTCATGCATGAGCCCTGTCAAACAGATGCTCAGTCCCACCCATGCAAGCTTGAGATTTGATCCGGCAGTCTTCGGCTGATTGCCGGTCATTCTGAAATGATACTCCATTACGATGATGTTTCCACAGATTGTACCATCAGGGTAATCTTAGACTTCATTCCATTCCCTAGTTTGTGACACACACACACACACACACACACACACACACACATCAGAATTGAGCACAAACCATGAGACAGCAGATCTGCATCATCTACGTGGGATACACAGAGATGAATGGAAGGTCAGTCAGTACATTGATATTCAGGACACAGCCAATTGAGTAATATGTATGCATATGCACACCATCAATTGTCTCTTTCGTGCACGCTCTCTATCTAACACACACACAAACAGACACACATAAACACACACAATATATGACTCCCTCCTTCGGCTGTAAGACAAACAGAGGGGAGGGTAGACAACGAAGGCAGTCAAGTGGCACGTGTGCAAGCTGTCGTCTGCACTGTGATATCACCACAAGTGTTTAAACAGCCTGATGTGCATAGAGACAAGTGATGATCCAGCTGTAGTAGACACCCACATGAATTGGGATGTGAGACTATATACATATACATATATATATATATGTATATATACAGTGAGGGAAAAAACTATTTGATCCCCTGCTGATTTAGTACGTTTGCACACTGACAAAGAAATGATCGGTCTATAATTTTAATAGTAGGTTTATTTTAACAGTGAGAGACAGAAAAACAACAAAAGAATTCTGAAAAACCTATGTCAAAAATGTTATATATTGATTTGACTTTAATGAGAGAAAATAAGTATTGGACCCCTCTCAATCAGAAAGATTTCTGTCCCCCGGGTGTCTTTTATACAGGCAATGAGCTGAGATTAGGAGCACACTCTTAAAGGGAGTGCTCCTAATCACGTTTGTTACCTCTATAAAAGACACCTGTTCACAGAAGCAATCAATCAATCAGATTCCAAACTCTCCACCATGGCCAAGACCAAAGAGCTCTCCAAGGATGTCAGGGACCTACACAAGGCTGGAATGGGCTACATGACCATCGTCAAGCAGCTTTGTGAGAAGGTGACAACAATTGGTGCGATTATTAGCAAATGGAAGAAATACAAAACAACTGTCAATCTCCCTCGGTCTGGGGCTCCATGCAAGATCTCACCTCGTGGAGCTACACTGATCATGAGAACAGTGAGGAATCAGCCCAGAACTACACAGGAGGATCTTGTCAATGATCTCAAGGCAGCTGAGAACATAGTCACCAAGAAAACAATCGGTAACACACTACGCCATGAAGGACTGAAATCCTTCAAAAGAAAGCACATGAGCACATGTACAGGCCCATCTGAAGTTTACCAATGAACATCTGAATGATTCAGAGGAGAACTGGGTGGAAGTGTTGTGGAAAGTGTAGACCAAAATCGAGCTCTTTGGCATCAACTCAACTCACCGTGTTTGGAGAAGGAGGAATGCTGCCTATGACCCCAAAAACACCATCCCCACCCTCAAACATGGAGGTGGAAACATTATGCTTTGGTTGTGTTTCTGCTAAGGGGACAGGACCACTTCATCGCATCAAAGGGAGCCATGTACCATCAAATCTTGGGTGAGAACCTCCTTCTCTCAGCCGGGGCATTGAAAATGGGTTGTGGATGGGTATTCCAGCATGACAATGACCCAAAACACACGGCCAAGGCAACAAAGGAATGCCTTAAAAAGAAGCACATTAAGGTCCTGGAGTGGCCTAGCCAATCTCCAGACCTTAATCCTATAGAAAATCTGTGGAGGGAGCTGAAAGTTCGAGTTGCCACACGTCAGCCTTAAAACCTTAATGATTTGGAGAAGATCTGCAAAGAGGAGTGGGATAACATCCCTCCATCTCAGGAGTTTGCAAACCTGGTGGCCAACTACAAAAAACGTCAACAATGGTTTTGCCACCAAGTACTAAGTCATGTTTTGCAGAGGGGTCAAATACTTATTTCACTATTAAAAAGCAAATCATGCGTTTTTCAGATTGTTTTATTCTGTCTCTCACTGTTCAAATAAACCTACCATTAAAATTATAGACCGATCATTTCTTTGTCAGTGGGCAAATGTACAAAATCAGCAGGAGATCAAATAGTTTTTTCCCTCACTGCATATATATACGTTTAAATACACGGTGGGTACGTATTCGTTTCACTGCAGTGTGGCTACCTGGCCGTGGTATTGCCAGTGTGGTGTAATGCAGCGGCAGCGGGGGTGTCATTGAGTTCATGGACATAAACAAACCCACTGCCAGACCAGTCTGCTCCTCTCAGGAATAGCAATGGAGGAGGTGTGTGTATAAGTATGTTTGTGTGTGTGTGTGTGGGGGTGGGTGGATGGAAGGGTAGATTGAGAAAGATTGAAAAACTGCGAGAATGGGGGGAAAAGTCACAGCGAAAGATAGACAGACAGACAGACAGGGTAAGAAACAGACAGTAAGTGACAGAAAAGGGAAATCCAGGAGACAAAGATGTAATAGATGGGGGTGAAAAAGTAGTCTGCCCACTTTGAAAAAGCTCCCTTGTGTAAATTTACCACCTCCGCATGTAGCATTTCAAGCACAGGGCTTTTATTGTCATAAAAAAGGCAAACACACACACAAACACAAGTACACGCAGTCTTTCCTTGTTATTTTTTCAATGTGTCATGACATGTGAATTTGAGAATGATAAAAACAAAAAACCGAGGAAGACATACAGATGGACAGACAGGTCGACAGAATGGAGGTACAGGTGGCATGGCCGGAGAAAGACTGTGGAGTGGAGATATTCTGCAAATAATGAGATGGGAGCAGAGTGAGAGAAGGGAATTAGACGGAGAGAGATGCAATACATGCAGCAAGATAAGAATTGTTTGTGACAGTGGAAAATCCTTGACAGGAAATGGTTCAGTAACAGCACAATGATCACTGATTAGGAGCTGAATGGCTGAAAATCTTAATAACATAATTGTTGTAAATATTATGAAGCTCAATATTTGATTAACACTAATGATTTGGCCTGGTGAATGTTTCACATTCCACAGTCTGGCATTTTCTGATCAACTCAGGAAATACCAAAGGAGTGAATGCTCCCCCAAAAAGAATACATCCACAATCGGTTTTCCAAATCGCGACCACACACACATGAAGTGCAGAATCACTGACTTGTCATCAGAGCAGCATTTGACTAAACAGCGGATAATCTGGACTCTTCAGCCGTCTATGACCAGTGATTCAGTTTGACACCTTAATCTGTGGAAATCACAGAGGGCTCCACCGTGGAGCCAACTGTATTTACTATAGATTACATCTTCCACTAGTGTGCATTAGTCCAGTGACAGCTTTGTAGACTGTAGGGGGAAACAGCAGTCATACACCACTGACTGACTCACTGTGATTTTGCCACTTGCCAAATGGTTTCGTAGGACTCCCTCAACCATTTGCTTGACTGACTGACTGTCTATCTGCCAGTGAGATGCTTTGTGCAGAATTTCAGAGGCTTGGGACTTAATGTCTCCACTCACATTCTCTTGCAATCACCTTGATCAGAGCATCTGCCCTATTTTCTTTTTTCTTGATAATTGAATAATGTAAATTAGCGTATCAGGGTGCTCATGTCATTACGCACATACACACACACACACGTTTTCTCTCTCTCTTACACAGACACACACACACACACTGCTCATCTGCATTCGACAGACTGCCCTGTGCCTGCTGAGGACAGCGGGGAGATGACATCACTTCTAAAGGACAGATTAGTTGAGGGATGAAACGAGAAGGTGGGGGAGGAAAAGAAAAGAGGAAACAAATCGGGTAGAAACCCCTCATTACTCTTTTTTTTTTTCACATCAACACCGTCAAATGCAGGTAGCCCTGCATCTTCTCCCTTTCACTCTTTCTCCGTTGGGGTCTTTTTCCTCTCACACACACGCACAGTTGTTTAGTCAGTCGTGTGTGATGTGAAATTCAGTATGTATCTGAGTGCTTCTGCGCTCTC